TCTCCCTTACCTATTATCTTCATATGACATTCCATGATTGGAGAGAGTAACAGATTCCTGGCTAGAATCTGTAGTGTTATTCTGGACGGTTGATTGCTGTGAGTGATGGCAAGTTGGGAGGCATGCGGATGATGATGCACCATGAGATGTCACATGAGAGGTGTTTCCCTGCGAAATGCCAGGGGTTATGTGTTGCTGCAGAAGCTGATGGATGGATGGCGAAGGACAATCTGTCAAATTGTCGGAGCTCAAGAGCCTGTGGAGAAGATAAAGTTGTAAGTAAATACATAAAATGAAAACTGAAAACCAAAGACTTTTTAGAGATTAACCTTCTCACCCATTTGTAAAATTCAGACCTGTAAACCAGACCTGTGAAACCTTCAGCCAACGTGCCACTCCGAGGCTTTAGCTAGTATGGAGCCAGTAAGACAAATGCAGCAAACATAGAAAATGGAGTAGAAAGAAATGTTTCTGCATGGTCTCCCCTAGATCTCAGTGACTCCAAAAATGATGAGCCTGGTTTGGTAAGGCTGGTAGCCAACACCAAGTCAGAGGTGGCTGTTTGCAGTTATATATCTTTGGACAGGGTTAAATTACAAATAATCCACTATCCAACTGAGATCCTTCAAAAATGGTCAAGACAATGCATTTCAAATAAAAAAAAAAGCTGAATATCCAATCATTGGATAATGAGTCTATTTCCAAATACAATTAAGCTTGGTTAGGTTCATAACCACTACTTTGTACAGTTGCAGAAATGGAGTTTCTGTAACTGTTCTGGTAAACTAACCCAATAGGAAGTAGTAGTAAAAGTGTAGTGAGCTGTTACAGCGCTGAATCATCTGCGCGCAGCCACTCACGGGAGCAAATGAGTAAACTACCGGATTACCTTGAATGACCAGTTCCCACCACTGTTCCTTGCACCATGCCTGCTGCATGAATTCTTGCTGGACCCTGCGAGCCAGCACTTGGGAGAGAGATGGTGAGCAGAGCTCATACCAGAACACATACTAGGTCGCAAGCCCACCTTGCCTCCGACGTTTAGTCGAGTATTCATAATGCCACCATTTGTTTGGGTTAATGTATTTGCCACATGCCATGTTATTCTATATTATTCTTTATCAATAAAGCCAGTTTATGTGTATTGGTGTTTTAAAAGCCTTCCCGAACTATTCCTTACCACCAGTGAAATTATTAAGATGCAACAATAAGTGCACTGTAAAGACAGCAGAAAAATGCTACATCTCTGAGGAAAGAGGTAGCTTAACACTAAAAAGAGATGGTGGCAGTTTGGTGTATGAGCAGGCAAACTGGCTATATGGTTGTTTGCAAATTTGGTTTGGAACAGTATGGATCTCTTTCGAAGGTCTTTAATTATTGTATATTGTTTTAGCTGTTTAATATTGTTTATGAAAGTTAGTCACAATTGTAAACAATGTGCATCTTACAAGTGCAAATCTAATTGGTGATTTGTTTTTTTACTTTAGAGTTGTAAATTCTACTTTACGTGCAGTGTTATAAAGTTAAACTTTCCACAGACATAATGGTTGATACAAGGAAGACACAGAAAAGAGATACTGAGCTAACAGGTGTGCCTGTGCCTGGCACTCAGGATAACCGCCAACAACCAGGTCTGAGCCAGGAACAACAGCGCGATGCCATTCCCATCTCCGTGTTGGCGGAGTTGACTCCCAGCATTGCCTCTCATATAGAACTAGGGACAGACTTGGATCAGAGTGATGTCCCTCGCACAGGGCAAGACCAAGATCCTGAGGGCTCCGTTACTTCATTAACTGGCTCTGCCATCATGAACCAAATAAAGGGTATGCAAGATGAGATGAGGGAATAGAAGACTTGCAAACCCACCTCATGTCATACAAAAAATCAGCACAACACAAATGTCTCTTCCTTGAATGGCATGCCCTCCGGCCCTGAATGCGCATCCTCCAGCCCTGAATGCTCGCCCTCCAGCCTTGAACACATGCCCTCCGGCCCTGAACCAGTTATTATTACAATTATGGGAGTCCATTCCCACTTTTGAAGAAAAGATACCCGCCTACCTGCCACTAAGAAGAAGCCAAGAAGTAGACTACCGGCTCCATCAAGTGGAGTTGCTCACACAGCCAACTAATGACAAAGGATGTTTACGTGCCGCCTGCACCACCTGCCTGTTGTGTACAGATGTTCGTACTTGGGGTGAGTTCAAAGCTCGTACCAGGCATAAGTTCTGTGGCACCTGTTCTGCTGCTGCCTTCCTTGATGTACTCGCCACCAATTGCCTGGAAGATTGTCAGTCTCCTGCAAACCTACACATGGAGATTGAATGTGTTGTGGACTATGCCAAGCACAACTTTCCAGATGAGTTGGAGAATCCAGAGAATGTTATCTGTCAAAAATTCCTGCAAGGTATCCCATTGAATATCCAGGAGGTGGTTACTGTAAAGAACCAAGGGTCTCTCAAAGAACTTGCAAGTGCCAAACAGCAAGTGTGGGATGTACGTCAGCGCATACATCTTGCGGAGACCAGTGCTCACTATTCGCACCCAGACCATAGATATCCAAGGTATGACCATGCTCCTGTGGCATCCCTGCACCATGACTAAGAGTTTCAGCCCTCAATTGCAGCAGTACCACTATGTCCCCTTATAATCATTACTGTTACTTCCATCATCGTGCTGGACACGGAATGCAAGGCGGAGCCAGCAGGCCAACAGTGTTGGGGATGTGGAAGTGAGGACCACCAGAGAAGAAGAGCTGCTCAAGACAAATGTGAGGATAAATGTGCTTGCTCCTTGATGGAATGGGCCTGCACAAATCGAGAAAAGTTAGGACCTGTGGCATTTCTTGTCCTTGAACATGCACCTGCCCACAAACCATGCGAACCAGCTCAAGATTTTTCATCCCACAAATGAGTTCACACCCCATGACCCTGTGGATTCTGATGACATGCCTGGACAAGCAGACCCTGATGACCCTCTCACCACTGTCTTATTTGCAGCGTGTATCAGAGGAAATGCAGTCATTTTAATTGATTATTATTTTGTTAATGTATTTATTTCTGATGTTTGTATATTTCGTGTTTTAAATCAGGTCAGAAAAACAGGATGGTATTTGGCATTGGTGAACTGAAATATTGATTATAACTAGTTTGCCCAAACACTGGTTACAAAGGTGTTATGAATCTCTTTGCAGATTTTGTTGATAATGGCTGCTAAGGGGTAAGAGCCTTGACAAGCAGAACCCATCCCACAAAGCACTCGGCGATCCAGCAGTTCGCATTGCAACATTGGCAAGCAGAATTTGTACCACGAAGCACTCTGCGATCCAGTGGATCCCATTGAACACTGGCAAGCAGAATTCGTCCCACGAAGCTCTCAGCCACCCAGCAGTTCCTGTCACATTATTGGCAAGTAGAATTCCCACAAAATTCTCAGTGACCCAGTTACGCCATTTTCAATCAGTACCCATGAACAGAGAGCAGAGCGCATACCAGAACACATACCAGGGGGCACCTGTGATATTTTACCCCTGTGATATTTCGTTTGATTAAGCCAATGGCCCTAGCTCCTGCCCACCTTGCCTCCAACGTTTAATTGAGTATTCATTACGCCGCCATTTGTTTGGGCAAATGTATTTGCCACATGCCATGCTATTCTGTTTTATTCTTTATTAATATGTAAAATGTAACAATAAGTATTAAAAAGTAACAATAAGTGCACTCTAAAGACAGCAGAAAAATGCTACAGATCGGAGGAAAGAGGTGGCAGAACACTACAATGGTATTTGTGAAAAGTCATTCACAATGTTTATAGTTCCCCAATAAGCCCTCTTCCAATTTAACTCAGTGAAATGAAAAGTACCCCACTGTCCTTGTATGTGTGTTTGTAATACTTAGTTTTTTCTTATTTCTATTTTGCTATACTGCTTATTGTTATAAGATTTATCTGTTTTCATAAATATTTTCAGCTGAATAACTAGACTAAACTTCTTATCAAGAAAAGCATGGAAGCTGACCATGGTTAGATATTGCACAATTACTAAATATTACTGCAATAACAAAATAACTTTAACTGTTCAACAACATGGGTAGATAGCGTGCAGTAAACAGAAACTGTCCCATTTTACATTCAAGCTTCTGAACGTAATATAAGAACAGGTAGCTCTACAATTCTTTACCCAAAAAGTTGAAAAAAAGTTTTTTTTGTGTGTGTTTTTTTTGTCTTCGGTACATCCCAACTATCACAGTTCTTTACTGAATATTCCCCCAAAAATACTTGTGTTAGGTCAACCCTAGCCTAAGGCCATGTAAATGGCCGATTTTTTAATTTCCTTTTTTTTTTTTTTTTTTTTTGGCAGGGGGACAGCTTGACATAGAGAACTTTTTTTTTTCAGCATTAAAATATTATCATTTTTTGATTAAGGAAAAAATTCAAAAATCGGCCATTTACATGGCCTTGGGACGCCGAGGCTCTAGTGAAAGCAACAAACTGCATTTGAATCGCATGAAAATTACGTGAGTTGGGATATACCAAAGATTCAAAAAAAAATAATAATAATAATAAAAAAATAAAATAACGGAGCTACAGTGTTTTGTATTTGGCCCCTTGCCAAAGTTCGTTATCTCTGTTATTTTTCTCTGAATCTAATGATATTATATATAAAAAAAATGTTTATTTAGTATACTTTGCAATGCAATGATTACCAAGTCAATAGGAATTTTCATTTTCAATAGGGATGCTATTCTGTAAAGGTATGTATTTTTTTTGTTGATGTTGTTGTTCATTAAAGTAGATATTTTTGTGTGAAGAGATTAATAAATGCATTTTATCATAGAGACAACTAATCTACACCAGATAAACACATGTTTTTTTTTTCTTTTCTATTCTTTTTTTTATTTTTTTTTTTTTTTGAAGAAATGGGGAACTGTGGATGGCAATATTAGTACAAAATCATTCTAATTATAAAGTCCTGGCATGAATATAACATGGTGGTTCAATTTTGAGAATTTTAAAAGCATATGAATTTAGTACATTGAATTCGAGAACTTACGAAAGTCGTTGAATTTTTCCCATGCCTCACACAGGGGGGGGGGAGGGGGAGATGGTCACTGGGTGTTTATAATTTTCGAGGAGGATCATATGTGCGTGAACGCACGCACATAAAGTTAAAAAGATTAATCATCATCATTTAGTAGGCCTACATTGACTTTCATATCTAAATAATCAAATATATTAGTTATCCCTCTCATACCATTTTCTTCGATAATCGTCAATATTAACAGATTGCAAAGGAGAACAAGTGTAGAGTTTATGATTAGCCATTTGCACCCATTATCTTTACTAAGAAGTGCATAAAATCATGCAGACGCCTAGGTGTTGTGGGATATTTGCCAATTTATGGTACCTAAACTATTCAACGTCTAAACATATTCATTTTTATCGGGAACGCACGAAACGGATGCGATAGCTTTTTGAACGCCAGACGAAGACTACGCATACAACCGAGCTCAAAATTCCATATAGTTTTTATTTCAGAACAGGTATTACTGAGTACTATAGTATTCAACATGAAATAATCTGTATCTCGCTTATACATCCGAAGTTTAAAAATCTGACATTTAGGTAACATTCGTATTGAATTGGTCTTTACAACGGTAACTACCAATTTCAAATCAATTCAAATTGCCCCCTGCTGTGATGTACCGACCGTTGAGCGAAATGTAATGGAAATATTTCAATCCTTCCTTATAAGGCTATTTTTAAACATTAGTGCTTCGTATGTGATATACATACATATTTCGTGTGTAAAAGGACACAAAACTTGCATTTTTTTTTTAGATATATTTCACAAAATATTTCGTCATAAATCACGGTGATATAATTTTTTCCTGATATTGGTATAAAAGTGTTCCTTGAACATTCACGAACTCATATCTATGCGCAATGTCATAATTAAATGCCGTGTGCACGATTGCCGCAAGTCCACATAGGTGTACCTGGGCGCTCATTAGCGACGTCCCTCTACGGGTGCTGAGGGACTCGCACGTCGGCTGCAAGACAACGAGCCATAGCAGGTGCTTAATACTCGTTTAGTAGTTTCCTCATCCATGTACCTATACTATACGCTAGCTAACTCAATTTAACCCCCTTCCCCCCCCTTCATCTGGGATGGTCCCCTTAAAACAACAAACACAACATGATACTAACCTGAACAGTCTATCTGTTGTATTGCTCTGTGAAGATTCATCAAATGTTGCTGGGTTAGATGATGTATTATGCTTATCCTGGCCAGACGGTGACAAAGCCTCCTGCTTGAAGATAGGCACAGCAGGTAGTGCCAGCAGGGCTTCACTCATGTTGTATGAAGCCTGTTGAAAAAAAATAAAAAATTAAATAAATAAATAAATATATAAATGAGCTTGATCTTGTATGATACTATACAAGGTAAGTTAACTCAATGCCATTTAGTGAGTCTACTCAATTTATTGTCTTAACATATGGGTGACTCCTCAAGTACCTAGTTACCAAGGAGTCAATTACTAGTGCTACCTATCTCATCTCTTTACCCTCTTCCCTGATTTTTGGAAATATTTCCTTTTGCCTTACTTTACTATCAATAATGTTAATAACTATAATAATTATCATATTTAAAATAACAAGAAAATTGATGTTGATAGCTTTAGTGAAAACTCAAGGAAAGATGAAATTGACTCCTTGGTGGCTACTACAGGGAAGACCTTTGCTCTAGGGAATGTACACAGCCTCCTGGGCTTAACTCCGAAGCCTATTTCAGACTTAATTGGTGCATCAAACTCGCCTCACCACACCAAAGCAATATGACGTCTTTTTGTATCCAAAACATGATTTTAATGTTTCTGCACCTTCTAAGATGTAGGATACTCATTTTAGTTCCTAGATTGAACCATTGAAAGCACCTAAATCAATAAATTAGGTGCTTTACACTCTACATGAAAGATGGAATGTGGTTTTATTGAAGGATAAAAACAGTATTCTCTTTCATTTTTGCAGATCTTATTCTTATGATATTAGAGATTGTGTGCAGTTACAAACAAGGCTGCTAGCCCCACAGCTTCACAGCTTCCCTTTTATGTGTCATACTTCAAGAGTTACACTGGTAGAGCACCATATGAAAATCGGAGCAGTTGACCCAAGGACAATGAGCATGAAAACTACAATAAAGATTACTATATCAATTTAAATAGCAGCAAGAGAAAGCAATTTATCAGTGAGTGAAATTTTCTAGGAACCGTAAGTGATGTGCTTCCATGAGGGTTCCTTATTAAAAAACAGCATAAAATGTAATTCATACATTGTAGTACCATAAATATAGCTATATAAATATTCTAAACAAACACTTCAATCTATCCTAAGTCCTTCAATCTATCCTAAGTCAATTTGTGTTTCTGGTATCTACAGATCAAATATTTTGAAGTTGAAAAATGGCAATCATTTTTCAGTATCATGTGGTAATAATCATAAT